TACTTGTGCCTGAAGAAAGTGACAACGTTTGGGCACTAATACCTCAGCTAAAGAGAAAGTTACATTTGCATCAACGACGAGCTTTTGAGTTTCTCTGGAGAAACTTAGCAGGATCTGTGGAACCGGCGCTAATGGATCCGGCTTCAGATAACATTGGAGGTTGTGTGATCTCTCATTCTCCTGGAGCTGGTAAAACTTTCCTAATCATTGCTTTCCTCACAAGCTACTTGAAGCTATTTCCCGGGAAGAGACCGTTGATTCTTGCTCCTAAAACAACTCTCTACACATGGTACAAAGAGTTCATCAAATGGGAGATACCTGTTCCGGTTCATTTGATCCATGGACGAAGAACCTACTGCACGTTCAAGCAGAACAGCACGGTTCAGTTCGAGGGAGTTCCGAAACCGAGCCAAGATGTTAAGCACGTTATTGACTGCTTAGACAAAATACAGAAATGGCACGCGCATCCGAGCGTTCTTGTAATGGGTTACACCTCGTTTCTGACTTTGATGAGAGAAGACTCCAAGTTTTCTCACCGTAAACACATGGCTAAAGTGCTAAGAGAGAGTCCTGGACTTCTTGTTCTTGATGAAGGACATAACCCGAGGAGTACTAAATCGAGATTACGCAAGGCCTTGATGAAAGTTGGTACTGACTTAAGGATATTGCTTTCAGGTACTTTGTTTCAGAACAATTTCTGTGAGTACTTCAACACTTTGTGTTTGGCTAGACCCAAGTTTGTTCATGAGGTTCTGATGGAGTTAGATCAGAAATTCAAGACCAATCAAAGTGTCAATAAGGCGCCTCACCTACTCGAGAACAGAGCTCGTAAACTATTTCTCGACATCATCGCCAAGAAGATTGATGCGGGTGTGGGAGATGAACGACTTCAGGGTCTTAATATGTTGAGGAATATGACTAATAGTTTCATTGATAACTATGAAGGAAGTGGAAGTGGAAGCGGCGATGCTCTTCCCGGTTTACAGATTTATACATTGTTGATGAACTCGACAGATGTACAACATAAGATTCTCACACAACTTCAGAAAGTAATGGCGACTTATCACGGTTATCCACTCGAGCTCGAGCTTCAGGTCACATTGGCAGCTATACATCCTTGGTTGGTCAAGACCTCAACCTGTTGTACCAAATTCTTCAACCCTAAAGAACTTGTCGAGATCGAGAAGCTCAAGCACGACGCGAAGAAAGGATCTAAAGTCATGTTTGTGCTAAACATGGTGTTCCGAGTGGTCAAGAAGGAGAAAATCTTGATCTTTTGCCACAACATTGCACCCATCCGTTTGTTTACCGAACTGTTTGAGAACATTTTCAGGTGGCAGAGAGGCAGAGAGATCTTGACCTTAACCGGTGATCTTGAACTGTTTGAGAGAGGCAGAGTGATAGACAAATTTGAAGAACCGGGAAACCCATCTCGAGTCTTACTAGCATCGATCACAGCTTGCGCAGAAGGAATTAGTCTAACCGCTGCTTCACGGGTCATCATGCTGGACTCAGAATGGAACCCTTCAAAGACAAAGCAAGCCATAGCTCGTGCTTTCAGACCGGGACAGCAGAAAGTTGTGTATGTTTACCAGCTCTTGTCCAGAGGAACATTAGAGGAAGACAAGTATAGGAGGACTACATGGAAAGAGTGGGTCTCGAGTATGATATTCAGTGAGGAGTTTGTTGAAGATCCTTCTCTATGGCAAGCTGAGAAGATTGAAGATGATGTACTTAGAGAGATCGTGGGAGAAGATAAAGTGAAATCGTTCCATATGATCATGAAGAATGAGAAGGCTTCTACTGGGTAATGGTTCATCATCAAAACAGCAACAGAAAAGGTGAGTTCTCTGTTTTACCAATGGCTTTGATGATGACAGTCCTAAGTTTCAGGAACTCATGTTGTGTCATCAACTAATAATGTGTCAGTAGTTTTATGTGAAAATGCTATCTTTAGATAAGCTCTTAAATAATGTGAAATGCTGATAAACAAAAAACAATGTGAAATAATGTTATATGTGTTTCTTATACTTCTCTGTGTTAATATATTATGCAAAGACAGCAACAACTTTTGCTTGGTTTTGTTATGAAATATAATACAACTTATCAAGAAATTAACAGTTGTACAAAATAAGACAAACAAAACCAAGATCAGAAAAGAAGAACTATAAAGGGATACATGTTAATATAAAGACTTTGAGACATCAAACTAAACTAGCAAAGGAAGAGGTAAGAGTGTAAGATACATTAGCAAGAGGACCACGTTGCTCCAAGAGCTCATCAATGTCTTTGACAATGTCGAAGACTGCCTCAGGCTGCGCTAGTTTACGTGCGTTGTCCGAAGTTCTTTCCAGCTCATCTGTCTTTGTGCTAAACCATTCTCCAACGATTCTCGCCGTCTCTTTCGGACTTCTTGTGAACACTCCTGCACCATTCTCCACTACATATGGCACATTCCCTTTCTCCTGTTTGGTTTCAAGTTTAATTGTTATGATAACGTATACATACATATGAGCTGATTATCTTACAAACTTCATAATCTAAACAGACCTGTCCAGGAATGTAATCGTTGAGGATGATAGGAAGTGATCTGATCAGTGATTCAGCGATTGTTCCCGGTCCTGCCTGCAAGATTCATAGGACACTTATGTATATTTTGGTGGATAGAGATGGTCATAAAAACCAAACCAAACCAAACCAAAATTCCTCTCACTTTTGTGATGATGCAGTCACAAGCTCCCATCCATTTCTCCATCTGAGTCTCGAATCCTCGAACCTGTAATGTCAAGAGATCCATTAAATCTCGAGTCTTGAAACCTATGAACATCTTAAATTGCCAAAGCGGTTAGTTTGTTTTAATCATATATACCTTAACAGGGATCTTCCATTGAATGGCTTCTAAAGAAGAGGCTAATTTCTTGTTACGTCCACAGATAACAACCATTTGCCCAATGGGCTTCTTGTTCTCTCTATCATACAAGTATTCTTCAAGAGCTTTCGCGGTTTCTTTCACAGGACCCATACCTTCCCCTCCTCCCATCAGTAGAACCGCACGAAGATCTCGATCCATTTCAAGCTCCTTTCTTAGATCATCCTTCACCAGAACCGCTCGTGCAAACGATGGCCTCACAGGTAAACCAAAGACACGGACTTGAGACTCATCGAGCCCATCAAACAATGCCCTTTTCGCCACTTCTTGAGACGGGCAATAGCAACGATTCACCCCCGGATGAAACCTAAACCATACAAGATTCCAAAAGATCAAATCTTTTGCAGCTAACATCATCTCTCAGAAGACTAAACCAAAGCTAAATTACCATGTAGGGTGACAAGTGTTGAGATCAGTAATGACAGTAACAAAGAGAACTCTTTTTTGTAGCTCTTGCCATTTGAGAACCCACAATGGAATGTGTTGCATCAGAGGATGAACACTTATGATAATCTCTGGCTTGTACTCCATTAAACCAGCTTCTACTTCTTTAGCGTAATACGCAGCAATGGCTGCAAGATAACAAGAATGGATCCATTTGGGAGATGTACTGTGGAAAGCAACCTTCCATAGCTGAACATGCTTCACCATAAACTTATATGATCTCTCCATATCATTCAATGGCCAACCTGTATACTCTTTCCACACATCTTTCACAATTATCTGTCACCAGAAACCCACCAAATCAAATTTGTAACCAAAAAAACGACACAAAGTCTCAATCTTTAACCAGAATTTTTACTCTGTATTTGTCTCCGAATTGGATCTTGAAAGCGTCGCTAATGGCTTCAGCAGAGGCACGGTGACCACCACCAGTGTCACTCATGAGGATCAAAATGTTCTTTGTCTTCTCTGCACCGATCTGGACAAGCTCCATTGATGATTCATCCTCGTCGCTGTAACAAACATCGTCGTCACTGTCGTCGTAGCTTTTGTTATGGCAATGCTTGTGAATGTGGTGATGGGTATGACGCTGAGGCTTCTCGCCGTCGCTTCCGCCGGATACAGAAAGGGTAAATTTGGAATTTCCGTAGACACGTTCAAGCACTTTCTCTGTAATGGAGACAACCGTCGTCGTCATTTACGAGTGTGTGAGGTCTTTTGGGGGAACAAAATGGAAACCTTCTCGGAAATATCTCCTTCCCAGGCGAGTTGGCACCGGAGAAGGGGAAATTTCC